GTGCGTCTGTGAATAGACATCAATAATCGTCTTCTCCCTCACCCACAGAATGCGGCACTACGATGGCCCTGGAGTACAGCTCCTGCGGTAGGGTTCGCTGGTGTGAGCTGGGTCAGTGTGTGTGTGTGTGTGTGTGTGTGTGTGTGTGTGAGTGTGTGTGTGGGTGTGGGTGTGTTCGTGTAAGAGTGTGCGTATATAGACAGACAATCATCATCATCTTTCTCTCTCTCTCTCTCCCCCACAGAATGCGGCACAACGTTCGCCCTGGAGTACAGTTCCTGCGGTAGGGGTCGCTGGTGTGAGCGGGGTCAGTGTGTGGACAACCCTGATGCACCGGACGTGCCTGACGACTGCCCGGCGGGGGACAACCCTAATGCCGGATGTGACGTCACAAAGTGCTCAGACTATGAGGACAACAAACGATTTGTCCAGTGTTGTATAACGTGTGGGCCTGTAAGAACGGAGAAGTTCGTTTTAGCAGGAAGCGTGTAGGTTGAAAAATGTAGTCATTGTAATCGTTAAATTACTCTTCATTTAGTTCATGATATTATACAATTATTCTAGAGTGAGTTTCTACTTGGGTTGTTTTCTCTGGGTTTTTTTTCCAATGTAAGGCTAGGAGTTATTCCCGCATCCGATCCGGACATTGAGGATTGCCTTGTTAGTGAGACAACTTCCTGGGCCTTCGGCACATTGTTGTATGGTGGCCAGTTCCTTTCCACGCCGCCTTTACTTCCCCAACTCGAAGTCAGGTACCCATTACTGCTGGGTGGGCATGAGGGGGCGAACAAAATCGGTGTCCGAACCGAGGCTCGAAACCGGACTTTCCGCTTCGGAGACAAAAGCGCTAACCGCTGTTTTTAAACACCTATCGACACAATTTAGATTGTTTAGGATTCGGGTTTGGACCATACCTTTCAGGGCTAGCCCAAAATACTCAATGAACGTTCTTCTCACAGGGAAATAGAACTCAGGTCTCCTAACTGCTACACCACAGGTGCCAGGTGATTTCATCTCTGAACATATGGGTATGATGTGGAAATGGTGAGGGTTTTCCATACTAAAATGAAGAGACGAACAAACAAACAAAGGAGAAAAGTCTCAACTGACACGTCCTTGAAATTATTATCACTACCGCAAAATCAAAAGCAATACCACGGTTGCTATTCGTAATCTAACAGAAATCAAGTCAGAAATAATATCCCAAAGACAGAAAATCCACAAGGCTATGCTCATGAGTAGCCACAGCAATATTATCCTTAGCTTTAGGAGTTTCGTTTTTGTTTTAGTGAGAGTTTTACATGTATTTCTTTTTCAAAATAAATAGGTCACATGAGTGCCAAAGATTAGAGAAATTGCTGTGCGAAGAACTTGCGAAGAAAAGAAAGAGCAGATAGATTAGATGTAAAAGTAAAAGACACAATTTTTATCATTTTGGAGGCGGGATACTTCGCCTCTTTCTGTTAGGGCCAACCAGGGCTGAGACAGACAGAACGTCCCAGCAGACAGATATAGATACTCAATGAAAAACTCACCCCGCACAGGAAACGAACAAGTGTCTTTGGCGTGCCACGGAATGACGCCTAATAACCGCTTACCTCGGACTCTGGTCAACCCCAACAATAACATCAAAACCCATGGCATCATTAGACATGAGAAGGATAAAAGAAATTTATTTTTGGTTTTGTCTTATTCTGTATTGTTGTGTTTTGTTTTGTTTTTGTTTTGTGGTAAGTGTTTTACGGCGCTTGCAACTGCATAAGATTATATGAGCGAGCTGGACACATTAAATATGTCTGGTCTGGCAGGAATTAAAAAAGAAATCTTTACAAAAACGACAACAGTGACAGCAACGGTTAAAGCAACAACAACATTAGTAACAAAGAAAGACACCACCACGCCTTCGGCGGCCATCACTACCACCTCCGTAAAAAAATGTATATATATATA